CAAGATTGTCAGGAGAAATATCAATAGCTTCAGATATGCAGATGACACCACCCTTATGGCAGAGAGTGAAGAAGAACCAAAGAGCCTCTTGACGAAAGTGAAAGAGGAGAGTGAAAAAGTTGGCTTAGAGCTCAACATTCAGAAAATTAAGATCATGGTATCCGGTCCCATCACTTCGTGGCAAATAGATGGGGAAACAGTGGAAACAGTGGCTGACTTTATTTTTTGGGGCTGCAAAATCACTGCAGATGGTGATTGCAGCCATGAAATTAAAAGACACTTACTTTTGGGAAGGAAATTTATGACCCGCCTAGACAGCGTATTAAAAAGCAGAGACATCCACGGCTGATTCATGTCAATATATGGCAAAAACCACTACAATATTGTAAAGTAATTAGGCTCCAAGTAATAAAAATAAATGGAAAAACAAATAAATAAATAAAAATCAGAGACATTACTTTGCCAACAAAGGCCCATCTCGTCAAGGCTATGGTTTTTCCAGTAGTCATACTGATGTGAGAGTTGAACTATAATGAAAACTGAGAGCTGAAGAATTGATGCATTTGAACTGTGGTGTTGGAGAAGACTCTCGAGAGTCTCTTGGACTGCAAGGAGATCCAACTAGTCCATCCTAAAGGAAATCAGTCCTGAGCATTCATTGGAAGGACTGATGTTGAAGCTGAAACTCGAATACCTTGGCAACTGGATGAGAAGAGCTGACTCTTTTGAAAAGACTCTGATGCTGGGAAAGATTGAAGGCAGGAGGAGAAGGGGATGACAGAGGATGAGATGGTTGGATGGCATCACTGACAAAATGTAGATGAGTTTGAGTAGACTCCTGGAGTTGGTGATGGAAAGGGAGACCTCACATGCTGTGGTCCATGGTGTCACGAATAGTCAGACACGACTGAGCAACTGAACTACTGACTGACTGAACAATGAGAATAAGGACATTTGCCATCTGCCCTGTGGATATTGAAATGTGTGCTGCTGCAGATGCCAACTTTCATACCCCATGATGTGAATTCAGGGTGGAAAATGCACTCTGTGTTCAAGGAGGCTATGGAACAGGTCTTTAGACAGCCAATATTATTTCCAGGGGCTGATTTCATAATCCCAGTCTCTGCATCTCTTCATATCTAGAACATCAGGTCCTCGTGACTAGCAGAAAACTTTTGCAATGTAAGTGCTTAACTTCATTGAACTACCCCTTCACCAAAATCTTACAGGTTGACCTTCCCACACTACCTCTTTGGAGCAGTCTCTCAGAGCTTTCTGAGGTGCTGTCTCCCAGGGTGCAGTCCTCATTTTGCCCCCAAATAAAGTTTAACTCGCATCTCTCACATCGTGCATTTTTTTTTCAGTCAACACAATCCACCACAGTCATGATTTTAATTTAATGATCCCATCCTATGTGTCAGTGGGAGAACCTTCAATTTAGTACCTCCGTCCTTTTTACTGAGACTCAGGCTTATGTGAATCTCTCAGAGCTGGGCAGAGGTGCGTGGAAACTATGCAGATTTCTATCCTAATCAGTCTTTCACACTGTGACCTTGAACATGATTCCAGCAGCCTGAGTCCTGTCAATTGCCTGAATTCAGCTTTCTCACATACTTACATGAGTTTTACTTCATAAACTTCCAGTGAATTCTTCTGTATTTAAGCCAAGAATCTCTATTGATCTAATAGGAAAGAATAGAAATGGGGAGACCAGTTAACACAATATGGAGTGCAAGGGTAAATTCAGAGAAGTTGGTACAATGTAACTTTGTTTATGAAAATTAAAACCACAAATTATAGTATAAAAATAATATAGCTATAGCATTCATATGTGGACCATATGTCAAAATCATGGGAGGGCTTGTGCCTTGAACAGTGAGGTGAACAGGAACAATAATAGGTAGCTGCAGGTGAGCATTAAAGGAGACTTAAGCTTTGGAAAGAGTTGAAAGCAGCTGACTTTTGATCTATACTCTCTTTAGTACAGGGAAGCCCTGGGAGGCCAAAGAAAAGGGCATATGACTCCACTGGACTGTAGGTAAGGAAATTAATCATATTTGCTAAGAGGAAGTTGGTTGTTCAGTCGCTGTGTTCTACTCTTTGTGACCTCATAAACTGCAACATGCCAGGCTTAAGAGAATTTACTTATTGAATAGACTTAATGGTTATCCCTGGCCACAAGATTGATTATGCTAAATAAACCCAGAATTTACGAAACATGGTTCCATGGCTAAGTAACTTTCTGGAATAGAAAATAGTCTTGTTTGGTGACCTGAGAACCTCATTAGAACCTCATCTGTAACCGTGGATCTAAGAATATATTAATTTGCAAGGAATTCCAGAAAAAAATAACAGACTGGGTGGCTTAAAGAACAGAAATTTATTTTCTCACAGTTTTGACAACTAAAAGTCCAAGATCATGGGTCAACGGGTATGCTTTGTTTTGAAGCTTCTCTTCTTGACTTGCAGATGGCTGCCTTCTGCTGTGTCTTCACACGGTTGTCCCTTGGTCTGTGTTTTCCTGATCTTTTCTTATAAGGACACCAGTCCAGTCCTATTGGATTGGGTCCCACGCAAACCACCTGTTTCTGTCTTAATTACCTTTACAGGCCTTGTCTCCAAATAGTCACAGTATTGGGGTTAGGACTTAAATATATGAATTTTAAAGAGACACAATTCAGCTTGTAGAAGACTGATGGGCCCTAAGGCTGGATAGCTGGTATTTGTCAAATGGAGTAAAATAGAATTTTTGTTCTCACCCAGATACTCCAAGGACAAAGCTAATGGCAGAAGTTGAGCTCGGCAGAAGTAAAGATATAAGATGACCACTCTTGAGGTCAAGGAGAACTTCCCTGTCTGCACATGCACAGGAAGGCTCCTTGGAGGTCAAAAAGGGAGAGGCTGCTACCCCATAATGAGTGGACACGCACCCACAGTCCTACATGGTGGGATCTATCTTAACAAAAAGTTGTGTACCCATCTTGGAGAGGTTCCTAGGACCAGTCAGGTGTGAAAAAAGAAACAAGATAACTGTTCTATGTAACTGATTTAAATTACTTCACTACTGCAGGCCTCACAAGAGAGGAGGCCCATACCCTTTCTCTCTGGGTCTGTATCTCTGCCTGTGTGTGTGCTCAGGTGCCTCCAACTCTTTGCAGCCCCGTGAACTGTAGCCCTCCAGGCTCCTCTGTCCGTGGGATTTTTCAAAGAATACTGGGGTGGGTTGCCATTTCCTACTACAGAGGATCTTCCTGGCTCATGGATCAAACCCACATCTCTCTCGTGTCTCCTGCGTTGGCTGGCAGATCCTTTACCTCTGCATCACCTGGCTTTCCAGCCTCAGTCTTAAATAAACTGCTTCTCTGAACATTCTCCCACATGCTATGCTGTCTCTCATAATAAACTTTGTACCTGTTTTCACAGTCTTTGCCTTTTTTGAAGCATTCTCGCTTTCAAATGGGGGAAAGAGTCAGGGTCGCAGCTTCTGGCCTCTAATGTCTTCATGATCTGGTGGCTAGGAATCCTGGTTTTCATCCAGACTACTCAGGTTCAATTCCTGGGCAGGGAGCTAAGATCTCTCTTCAGGACCTTTCACTGCTGTCTCTACAGATCAGTAACAGAGAATATGTTGCCCATGCAGGAAGGAAGGGCCTGCAGTGTCAAGTGACATTTCCAGGACCTCAGTTTTGTCTGAGATTATCTCTATGATCTGCATCTTTGACCTTATCAGTAAAGCTTAATGCTGGTAAGATATCTGATTCATGTGAATCTAATCATGGGTGTCAGCTTAAGCACTATCTGTACTGCTTATTTTTTAGACTGGGGGTCACTATGAAATAATAGTACCTCCATCTACGGGTGTTTGCTAGAGTATTTTTTATACATTTTTCTTTTAAGTTTCTCAAAAATAAAAATTTGTTCTCAAAACAAAGGGCTAGAGGGGACAAATAGGTGCTAATTAAACAAGGAATCCATTAGAGTGATGTGGCTCTCATGCCCTGGCATCCTCTGTAAGCAGGCTGAATCTATGAGAGTCCAGAAATCAAAGTACGAACCAAATCCAAACAGTCAGCTAGGCTATTACATATAGTCAATCAATAATTTCCTTGCCTCAACTTTTCTCTATAAAAGTCTCTCCCTATCTCCTGGAGACTCGAAACTGCAAGGAGTGGGGCTATTTGTTCTTTTTTTTTTTATTGTACTTTTAAAATGCACTGAAATTAAAACTCCAAACTATAATTGTAGAAATAGCAGGTGACAAATTAAAAATACTTTTAAACTTCTCAGATTTGTCTCTCATGAGCACCACCTGCTCACATGTGCTTTTTATATTCCATAATAGGGCACACAAGCTTTTTGTGGGTAGTGAATAATCATAACTGGCACATTGCCCGCCATGTCACTAAACGAAGGGTCGATTGCAGTTATTGCCAAAGGTGAGCTGGTGAGCCTAACCAACTCGGGAAAGAAGAGTACCTTCCTTCCGACAGTCATGGGACTACAGTCACTCCCTTGGTGTGAAAGGGCGGAAACTCAGGCTGTAAAAACACAGGATACTAACCCCAGATAGCTGAGACGCTAAAAACAACACTTTAACATTATTCCTAAATATTTAGATCTTTTTCATGTTTTTCAAGGCCAGAGAGGTATAAACGGGTCCATAGAGCACAGCGGCTGGAACTGAAAGGAAAGTAAAACCATCCCGAGACATCCAGGACCAGCCATGGGCCCCACCCCCACCCCCATCCCCCCAGGTCAAGCCCTAGGGCACAATTTAGGATCTCCTAGTTTTAAAAATCTAAGCCACCTCAGCCCACTAAACAGGCCAGATCCGGAGGCGGACCGAAGACGCAGTATTTCGCAGGCGCTGCGGCTGCGCGCAGGCGCGTGGGGGCGGGGCCACGAGGGAGGGAGCGTGCGCCTGGGGCAGACGCCGGGCTGTAGAGGCTGAAGGTCTGGTAGTTGCTGCTTCTTCGGTTTGGCAAGGAGACGCGGGGTACATGGCTCTTAGGGGCATCACAGTCGTTGAACTCGGCGGCCTGGCCCCGGTTCCCTTCTGCGGCATGGTCCTGGCGGACTTCGGAGCGCAGGTGGTGCGTGTGGACCGACCCGGCATCCGCAGCGACGTGAGCAGGTTGGCCCGAGGCAAGCGCTCGCTGGTGGTGGACCTGAAGCGGCCGCGGGGAGTGGCGGTGCTGCGACGCCTGTGCGCCCAGGCGGACGTGATGTTGGATCCTTTCCGTCCCGGTGAGCCTCCTGCCCCTACGCGGGGCCAGAGAGGGGACGGTCCCCGCAGAAGGGAGGTCGCCGCGCCCGACCGTTTGGGACTGCACCCCGCATAACCTTTGCCCTATTGCCACCTGAACCCTTTCCGTCCCTACTTTCTAGACCTTGCTGTTGCATTTGATGTTGCTGATCGATCGCCCCCTGAGACGAGATCTTCCACTCTTGGAGTCCGAGATAATGCTGTTGTCCTCACTTTTTTTATACCTCCCTCTGACTCCTTCCCAAGTTCCCCCCCTTTTTTAGTTACTCATTTACATTTGCGTTTCTTAATTAAGTGAAGGTCATGAACCCTATGAGAAACAAACGAAAGCCATAGATTCTCTCTCTGGAAAACTGCATGTAGGTTCACAGTCAAACAGCTAAATTTTGGAGCTTGGTGTACCGGGGTAAAGCCAGGCTAACACCTGCTGCCTTAAATGCTGGTGTTCAGGTTCCAGCTTCTGCTCAATTTCCTTTACACTCTGCTTCTTTCAGCCCTTATCCATTTCTGTTACTTTTATTTTTTATAGGCAGGTGATGGCCAAGTCTATAACTGTGCCCCCTTCTTTTAGAGCCACAGAGTTCCAGAATAGGCAAGTTCTGCCCACTTCTATCTGACCGTCTCCTGGGCACTGCAGCTTCCACATATTCCAAACTGAGCCCCATCTCTTTCCTACTAAAATGTCCTCTCCTCTTTCTGTATCATTTCAGTGAATAAAACCAATGTCCACCCAGTTGCCTGAATGAAAAACTTGTACCTTTGTCTAGGCTCCCAAATCTTCCTTTTCCACCACCAACTTTCAATTATCATCAGTCCTATCATTCTTCCTCCTTTCTGTGACTTCCAGATTCTTTGCACGCCTGCTGCAGCTCCCTTGATAACAGTTTTAACAGCCTTTTAAAAGCTGATATTTGGGTCTAGCACCACTTTGACCTTTGCTCAGACACCTGCTCTTGCTCAAGTACAAATCCCAAGCTTTGGTATATAGCTGGAAGTCAGTAAATGGGGAATGAATTGGCTGTGTGGGGCACCAGGCGTATTTAAATGTGTGAACACATCCACCCTCAGATCTGAGATTACAACAATAATAATTTAGTAATTAGGATTTTATTATAATTTAATAACACACAACTTGAAATTGAAGGAGGCTCCACATGGGTAAATAATTTGTCTTAGTATTAGGGGAGAGGTGGAGCTGTGAATACAGATATAGCTGCAGGGGGTGTTGGGGTGGATTGAGGCTGATGTTTTTCTAGTTAGAGAAATAGAGTTTATTTTTAATTGAAGTATTGTTGATTTACAATGTTGTGTTAATTACTGCTGTACAACAGAGCCACTGAGTTACATATATATTCTTTTTCATATTTTCCATTTATCACAGGTTTATCACAAGATACTGAATAGAGCTTCCTATGCTATACAGTAGAACCTTATTGTTTATCCATTCTGTATATACTTGTTTGCATCTACTAATCCCAAGCTCCCAGTTCATCCCTCTCCTATCCTTCCCCCTTGGTAACCACAAGTCTAGAAATAGAATCCTTTTGTAACTTATCATAGCTTTGTGGAAACAAAGTCAGTGAGTTTTATTATCTAATTTTATATCTTTAACCCCAGGACTCCTTAGGTTCCCTGGTTTTAGCAGAATAAATACTGACTGACCCTTGAACAAACCAGGGCTAACCTGTTCTTTAGTTACAATGGTCCTCCACAGTTCCTCAGCATTCGTCAACCACAGACTGTGTAATACTGTAGTATTTACTTTTGAAAAACTTCATGTAAGTGGACCCAAACAGTTCAAACTCACCTTGTTCAAGGGTCACCTGTACTCGCTGATAACTAAGAGCAGTTAAATGCTGTTGTAGCTAACCCTTCTTCCACCAGATATGTGTACTGAGCCTTTTTGTAGAGGAACTGTTGGGCGTGTTAGAGGCCTGTGGAAACAGATGAGGCATGAATCCTGCCAGAGGAGCACCTGAGCTGTTTGGGAAGATGGAGTATATACATGCATAAGTATAGCAGGCACCCGTGCAGGCATAGACATAGAAGAGGTCCTGAAAGGAAAAGCAGCTTCCCAAAGTGAGTTTTTAATCAACTAAAGACTCAGAGTAACTTCCAAAAGAACAGACCATTTCTAATAAATTACTTAGGAGCGAACTGGGGCAACTCTGAAGGGGCTGACTGAAGGGATGGAATGTCCACTCTGAAGATGCTTGGGTATGCCTGCAGGGATATAGGGCAGTGCTGGGGTTAAATAGCATTCTTGGGGTGGGATCTGCCCCACATTCCAAAAATGGGGGCTTCACTGTCTGGGTTTTTAATTACTGGCAATACATTCATTATAAACTCACAACAAATGTTACCAGTTTTCCTTGCAAAAAAGTGCTGTTTTATATTTGCCACAAAGGAGGGATTATACCCATCTTCAGTTCATGCTGTCTTTAAAAAAAGAACATAACTTTTCTCTTCAGGGGTGATGGAAAAACTCCAGCTCGGTCCAGAGATTCTCCAGAAGGAGAACCCGAGGCTTATCTATGCCAGATTGAGTGGATTCGGCCAGTCGGGAAGGTTCTCCAAGGTAGCCGGACATGACATCAACTTTGTGGCTTTGTCAGGTGTGTTGAAAAAAAAAAATCCAATTTCTCTTCCCTCTTTTTTTTTCCCCAGTCAAGATCTACAGCTATACTTATTAGAAAGAATTTTTTAAAGGTGAAGTTTGGAATATTTGTTGGAATTAATAAAGAGCGTGTACTTCTTTTTTTTCTTTGAGTGTGTACTTCTTTAAAAAAGATTGGTTTGTCTTGGAACAGTCACTGTCAGCCTCAGTGACTCAGATCATAAGGAATCTGCCTGCGATGCAGGAGACGTGGGTTTGATCCCTGGGTCAGGAATATCCTTTGGAGGAGGGCATGGCCACCCACTCCAGTATTCTTGCCTGGAGAATACATGGACAGAGGAGCCTGGCAGTCTACAGCCCCTGGGGTCGCAAAGAGTTGAGCAACTAACACTTTCACTTTCCCCTGCCTTAACACAGGGAGGGGTAATACATGCACTAGTAACATTTACTGACTGTTTGTGGAGTGACTTCTCCAGCAAGACCCTGCTAGGAAGTAAGAGACTTATTGATAGTAGAAATGGTTGCTCTGTAGTATGCAAAGATATATTAATAGTTTGATTCTGGTACCCCCTTACTTTATTGGGAATTGTTGACTGAGTCATGATTTTAGAAATTCTATGAATACTAGAAAAATCCCATGGTTTTCACCTGTATGAACATATCTTGAAAGTGTTAACCACTCAGTCATTTCCAACTCTTTGTGACCCCATGGACTGTATCCCACCAGGCTCCTCTGTCCATGGACTTCTCCAGGCAAGAATACTGGAGTGGGTTGCCATTCCCTTCTCCAGGGGCTCTTCCCGACTCACAGATAGAATCCGAGTCTCCTGCATGGCAGGCAGGTTCTTTACCCCCTGAGCCACCAGGGAAGCTCTTAGAATGACCTAATTCTAGATTTCTAAGAACCATATTGCTGAGTAAAAGAAGTCTCAAATATTCTGTGTGTACACATTTAAAGGTTGAGGAAAAGAGTGAGTGGAGAGTTGATTTTTCACATCTATTTAAAAATGCAATTCCTTTTCTTTTTCTTGTGTTTGTTTTCTTGCATCTCTTTCTAATAAGAATGGAAGTGCCTTATACCATTGTTAAGTTATAAACTAAATGGATAGCAACCATCCCCCCCCCCCCCCGACACAACTCAGTGAATAAAAACTTAGCAATAGAATTCTGAAAATGTTAGTAGGAATAAAGTTTTAAAGAAAATAAAGACATTAAAAAAAAAAACCAAGGAAATTTGTTGGAAGGAAAGCCATCTTATAAATATACTGAACAAGTTTAGATTTAGAAAGGCATTAGATATTAATTTTCACTTACAACTAGTAGCTAGAGAGATTGGTTTTCCTTCTAAGATGTTCATGTATTTATTTAAAGTACACATTAAATGGGCCTCTTAACCCATTTACCACTGGATGGCTCATTGATAAAGAATCTGCCTGCTAGTGCAGGAGACACGGGGTTTGATCCCAGGTCCGGGAAGATCCCACATGCCACGGAGCAACTAAGCCTGTGAACTGTAGGCTTATAGTTGAGCCTGTTGTTCTAGAGCCCCAGAGCCACAATGACTGAGCCCACGTGCCACAGGTACTGAAGCTTGTGTGTCCTGGAGCCTGTGCTCTGCAACAAGAGAAGCCATTGCAATGAGAAGCCCATGCATTGCATTGAGAGTAGCCTCCACTCAATGCAACCAGAGAAAAGCCTGAGCAGCAATGAAGATCCAGCACAGCCAAAAATAAGAAAATAAAAGTTTAAAATACACTTTAAATTTACCATTAATGGTCCTCCATATTTTTTTTTCATGGCATAGGTGTTTTATCAAGATGTGGCAGAAGTGGTGAGAATCCATATGTCCCGCTGAATCTCCTGGCTGATTTTGGTGGTGGTGGCCTCATGTGCACACTGGGCATCGTTATGGCATTGTTTGAACGCACACGCTCTGGCAAAGGTCAGGTCATCGATGCAAGCATGGTAAGTTTTACTGGGGGACACGCTAAGCCTTGCGTTTGTTCCTAAGGTTGAGATATGGAGGCCTCAAATCCTCTTTCGAACAAGACAGGAGATAAATTTAAATTTGAAATTTGAATCCAAGTTACCAAAGATAGCCTTCTCTTTAAAACAGCTTCATATGTTTGACATGTGTCAGAATGTCATATTTTGATCGTCTGTTTGTGGAGTCAATTTTCTAAACTGTGCATGACTCACCTGATTACTACATTGTGTTTCAGCGATTTTCCCCATCTTGTGTCTTGTGCGTTGAATATGATTTTTAAGAGATTTTCATTCAAAACTGGGCTCAGGAAGTCTCCTTTAGCAGGAAGAGGAGATTCTTGATGATGCTGAAGTGAAATGGACCAGTCTAGACCTTCCTGCTGCACTGTGTAGCAGAGATTCGAATGTCAGGATGCTTCAGTGTCTTCACTCACACACGGAGCACTTGCTTCATGTTCTCCTAGGCACTTCTGTGTGATGTCTCCTAATCCCCAAAACAGCAATTTCACTTGGAATAGATTGTTTGTTTCCAGTTCTACTTGTTTATTGTTACCAACCCGTCTCCCTGCAGACCCCTCACACATGTGCACTCAGTTGTGTGACCCCCATGGACTACAGCCCGTAAGGCTTTTTTGGGCATGGACTTTCCAGGCAAGAATACTGGAAGGGTTGCCATTCCCTTCTCCTGGGATACATTGTTACTGAACCCAGTTAGACCTGTAACAGGGCTTCCCTGATGACTCAGCAGCTAAAGAATTCACCTGCAATGCAGGAAACACAGGAGACGTGGGTTTGATCCCTGGGTCAGGAATGTCCCCTGGAGGACGAAAAGGCAACTCACTCCAGTGTTCTTGTCTGAAAAATCCCATGGACAGAGGAGCCTGGTGAGCTACAGTCCATGGGGTTGCAGAGAGTCAGACATGAGTGAACAACTAAGCACAGACCCATAACACTCTTAGGACATCTTTTTTTCAACAGATTCATCAGCACATTCAGAAATTTGCCTGAAAAAAAAAGAAAAAAGAAATTTGCCTGAGTTCTCACAGCTAGTTGATGAGAGCCCAGTCTAGTGCCATTATACAGGTTACATTAGGACCTATCTTTGCAGGTAGGCTGGAGAGTGGATTTGATGAAGACAAGACAGAGATAAAGGCAAGTACTAAAATGGTCAATGGTAGAATAGGTATGGATTTAAGGATTCACATTTGGCAGTGAAGGCAAAGGAAGAAATCAAGGATGGTTCCCTGATCTCTGACTTAGAAGACCCAGTGGATGGTGGCTCTGGTACCCTGTGGAGAACCACTGAAGGAGGAAGCTGACTTGGGGGGACATATATCTTATTCTTTTAGGCCAGTAGTTTCCAAGTGACTTTAGCAGCAGAATCCATGACCTAGGCCTGCCTATGATGACCTGGAGTCATCTCTTCATCAGACTGTTCCCTTAGAAACTGTAGAGTTAGGGCTTCCCAGGGGGCGCCAGTGGTAAAGAACCCACCTGCCAGTACAGGAGATGCCTGAGACTTGAGTTCAATCTCTGGGTTGCAAAGATCCTCTCGGGGAGGGCATGGCACTACACTCCAGTATGCTTGCCTGGAGAATCCTCATGGACAAAGGAACCTGGCGGGCTATAATCCATTGGGTCACAAGGAGTCTGGATGTCAGACAGGACTGAAGCAACTTAGCATGCACGCACATGGCATGTGGGGTCTGTTTTACTGTGTTTCCTCCTGACCTAAGGGAGCACTTCTAACCTGGGGGACTATGTGTTGGCATGCAGGCCATTGGCCTATGTGATGAGAATAATATAAAAAGTTGGGAAATTGAGGCTGCAGTTTCCCTGTTCATGGGTTGTCATCTGTGGCAGCATACACTGCATGTGGATGAGCGGGGAAGAGAGGTGTGTGCTCGGCAGCCTCTTGATGAGATAAGGATTATAAGTGCTGTGTCTTGTCCTGTGTCCTTCTATGGCGCCAAGTAAAGGTGGAGTTAGATTAGAGCTGTTTGTATCCTGAGTGAGCCAAAATAGACCCATAACACTGTCAGGACATCTTTTTTCAATAGTCTCATCAGTACATCCAGTGTGTAAAAGAGATTAAATGTACATATATATATGTGTGTGTGTGTGTGTGTGTGTGTGTGTGTGAGAGATATCTATATGTGTGTTTGTGTGTATATGTATAAATGTGGGGACTGTAAAATCTGTGTAACCCCATTTCAAAAAACAGCACCACCAAAGGCCACTTATACAAACTCTGCTACTTGGTGACAGCAAATGTCAGATCCATGGATTCAAGTGTTCAGGAGCTTCCTCAAGCTAAGAGGGAAAACTGAGACGTATCTAAAAATGGGCTTCCCAACAGGCACAGTGGTGAAGAATCTGCCTGCAGACGCTGGAAACAAGGGCTCGATCCCTGGGTTGGGAAGATCCCCTGGAGGAGGAAATGGCAACCCACTGTAGTCTTCTTGCCTGTTAAATTTTGTGTTCGTTTCATAGCCAGAATCTGTGAGAAATCCCATGCTCACGGTTGGAATGCTTTCTCTTAATAACCTCAGAGACAAGGATGCTTTGCTGGCCTGCTTCCTGGAGTGCCAGAAGGATAGGGAAGTGTTCTTTAGTTAGTTCAGTGCATCCAGTCTCATGATAATCATACTGGAGATGTGAATCCTTTTTATTTCAGGACTAGTGGGAAGCTGGCATTCCCAAACTAGTTTGTCTGTACTCAGAAAATCCTTATCACCTGCCACCCACATTGTTATGTTTATTCTGTAACTTTCTAGTGATAATTAAAGTTAAAATATGTTAAATATTCAAATTTGTATTTCTTGCGCTTGGTATCAAAACTAGAGTCAACTAAATATAGCTGTCATGCAATTTACCTTTAAAATGTGATCTGCTTCATGTGTTTGTGTGTATGTTTATAAGTATTGAGGTCAGATGATAGATTTTTAAGAAAACCTTTTTCTTTATTTTCAGCTTTTTTATCCTGACCGTTTTTAACATATATGAAAGTAAAGAGAATGTATAATTAGTTTACTAATGGTGAAGTAAGCTTACTAGTGAAGCTAGCCTCAGTTAGCTTCAAAAACTGTCAACATTCTGCCAATATTATTTGAAAGGAAGTAGTTCCTTGAAGTCTTTTCTGAACAATATTCCCTGATCTGAATAGTGCAGGAGCTCTATCATAAACCTGTCCTAACTCACTTTCTCAAAATATCAAAGAAGTTGTATAATTAGATATAATCTTTCTGTATTCTAAGATAAACATTTTTATACAAACATTTTTTTAAAACCCAAGTAGGAATCAGTCATAATTTTTATAGTTGAATTACCTGGATTCACATTGTATTCTGTTTCTTCAAAGGTGGAAGGAACAGCATATCTAAGTTCTTTTCTATGGAAAACCCAAGAAACAGGATTGTGGGAACAGCCTCGTGGACAGAACATTATAGATGGTGGAGCACATTTCTACACAACCTACCAGACAGCGGACGGGGGGTTCATGGCTGTCGGAGCATTAGAGCCCCAGTTCTATGAGCTGCTGATCAAGGGTGAGTAACTTTTCAGGAACCTCTTTTCTGGGGATGTTTTCCAGCCTCTATTTTGGGGTCTTTTGAAGTTCATGATGTCTTTTATTATATGTATATATCCACTTTATAATTAGTTTAATGATGGTAATCATATTGTGAGGCACTTCCCCCATCTTTTAAATTGACAAGCACTTTTATAAAAAAGGTCTATAAAATAGCTCAGATTAAAAAGATCATAATCCTTTTTGTGGGCATTCAGTGTTTTTGTTACATTTCATACTCAGTGCTGTGCTAAGTCTCTTCAGTTGTGTCCAACTCTGTGCGACCCTGTGGACCATAGCCTGCCAGGCTCCTCTGTGCCTGGGATTCTCCAGGCAAGAATATTGGAGTGGGTTATCATGCCCGTCTCCAGGGGATCCTCCCAACCCAGGGATCGAACTCAGATCTCTTATGTCTCCTGTACTGGCAGGCAGGTTCTTTACCACTAGTGCCACCTGGGAAGCCCATACTCATAGTGTGGATATTAATCTTGCCTGTTGCATGGCCACAGTCTGTTCTTCCCTAGAAATGATCTGCTGGTTCTACCAGTTTTTATTCCTTGATAGATAGATGTCCCTCCTGGTACTTAATAATGGGGTCACCAGAGCACAGAGAGACTTCGGCGAGTGCGAGTTTGTTGGGATATGTCACCATCACTTGATGCTTCTGCAGTTCACCTTTCTTGCAGATTCTTGTCTTATTGATACGTTGTCACAGGTTAGCAGGAAAATTTGGGATCCCTTTTACCCTGACTGATAATTGGACTGAAGTTATTTTGTCCCTGTGAAATGTGAATTTAAAGTTTACTTCACAGATATTTTAGTTTCTAAGAAGTTTTAGAATATATGCTGAAGCAGTGTGACAAGCACTTGCTTGCAGCACATTTGTCTTCCAGCTTCAAGTTTGGAGTTTTATGTTTGATAGCTTTTGAGATGCAAAGTGCTACTCAAGAGTAGTCTGTATATAGCTGAAATGATGGTTTTTATAAGCATCAGAATGCATTCTGTGATCCACTATATTAACTTCACCAACTTAACTGTAAGTTAGAAGAACAATAGAACAGAGTGGTTTGGACAAACGCCCACATCTGTAATGATTTTTCTGAGTTAGTGTTAATTTATTATTTTAGCATACATTTTGAGATCTTTGAGATCATAGCTTCATTTAGCTCTCAGTGTCTGAGCATAAATACACAAGGTTTTTGTAAGGCTCAGAGTCCTCTATGCTATGTTCCTAATGCTTTCCAGGGCAAAGAAATCTGGAAATACTGAGACTCTTATGACATGAGATTCTTGTAGTGAAGGCAATAGATAATTTTTTTAAGTTGCTTTAAAATTTCAAAATATTATTAAGAAAGCCAGGAAATTAGTGTTGGTGAGGATGCGGAGAGATTGGAACCCCATGCATTACTGGTAAGAATGTAAAATTATACAGCCATTGTGGAAAATGATATGGTGACTCCTCAAAAAAATTAAACAGAATTACCATATGATCCAGCAATTCCACTTCTGGTTATATATCCAAAAGAATTGAAAGTGGGAACTTGAACAGATATTTAAACAAGGACTGGGGGAAGCAGAGAATAAGTGTTGGTGTTTAATGAGTAAAAGCGTTAGTCGCTCAGTTGTGTCCAACTCTTTGCAACCCCATGGACTGTAGCCTGCCAGGCTCCTCTGTCCATGGAATTTTTCAGGCTAGAATATTGGAGTGGGTTGCCATTCCCTTCGCCAGGGGATCTTCCCAACCCAGGAATTGAATCTGGGTCTCCTGCATTGCAGGCAGATTCTTTACCATCTGAGCCACCAAGGAAGCTGGTACAGTTTCAGTTTGGAAAGATGAAAAGTTCTGGAGATGAATGGTGGTAATGGTTCCAGAATAATATGAATATACTTAATAACATAGTACTCTATTCTTAGTAGTGGCTAAAATGGTCAATGTTAATATTTTGTATATTTTACAATAATTTTAAAAAATGAAAAAATTCAAAGAAATGTATTTTTTATGAAAAAAGTGTAAACAATACAGAATTTATAAGGTAAGAGGTAAAAATTCTCCCTTGTCCTTCCACTTTAGGATAGTTTGGAATGTGGCCTTTGATGGGATGGGGAGGGACGTGGGAGGGGGGATCGGGATGGGGAACACATGTAAATCCATGGCTGATTCATGTCAATGTATGGCAAAAACCAATATAATATTGTAAAGTAATTAGCCTCCAACTAATAAAGATAAATGAAAAAAAAAAAGAATTTTCCCTGTACACATACAGACACAATTAAATTTTTTATAATCTATATAATATAAATATACATATTATAATTTGTATAATATATATGTATTCATATTGTATAATTTTTATAATTTATATACAATTATATAAATTAATATTTATATAATTTATAAAATATATAATCATGTAAGTTTATAATTAATACTTTTTTATTAAAAAATATAGCAAAGACATCCTTTTTTGTCAATACCGAATATCTTCAGCCTTACCCTTTTAAATAGCAGCTGTATTGATACAGCTGGTGTGTCAGAGTCAGGGATAGAAGTGTTCTGATTTCTAGTATTCCAGTGTACAAACCTGTGTACCTTAACAAAACGTGTGTAACCTTAAGTTTAGTGTTTGTTGGAGAACTATTGTTTCCAGTTTTAGTTGATGATTCTGATCACATTCTGAGTTTAAAAAAAAAGAAAACTTTATAAAAGCATGCCTATATGTTTCCAGCAGTTAGCCGTGGTCTACTTAAGTGCTTTGGCTAACTGCTTATTTTATATGCTTCTTAATCACAGAGTTTGGGACAATCAAGAAGGAGAAAGCAAAGTGAAAGACATCCTTAGAAATATTTCTTCTTAGATTACTGTGGTAAATCTGAAACTGTGGCTTTATATCTTTCCTGGTTTTGAATGGGACAAGTGGCTACAGAGAACAGTGTATTTGCACAGGTGTTTTTTCACAGCTGTTCAGAATTATGTGAGTTCTTATATCCTTATATCCCTCAAAACTCTAAGAAGAACCTATAGTATTCCTGTCTTCTTACCTTTGTAGGCATTTCTGCATCTTCCGAGCAGCTTAAAATTATTGCTCATTGTTTTTCAACATGGTAGATAAGGAAAGGATGATAAAAAATGAGAATTGCTTGATTAACTTGGCTAAACTTATGCAAAATATTATGCATAATTTACATTTAGAAACCCTCTTATACAAGAGGGAATAAAAATGACAGTTACACCAAACCCCAGCAAAGTTGCCCTTTGGGTATAATTTAATTAGCACTGGAGTTGGGATGTATCTACAGGGGTGGGTTCCTGTAGTCAATAAAGAAAGCACAGATCAAGTCATGGACTGGAGAAGCCATCCTTCTTGTGATATTCCCTGGCAGATCTTTTCATCTTCGCTGTCGCTTGTGTTGAGGGGCCCTTCAGAACTCTTTGTACTTGAGAGAGAAAAAGGCTCTGTGTCCCCTGTTGATTGGCTGGCTGATAACTTGCTGTCGGAACAAGTGGCACGTGTCTTTGGGCTCCCCAGGTGACTCAGTGGTAAAGAATCTTCCTGCCAATGCAGGAGACTTGGGTTTGATCCCTGGGTCAGGAAGATCCCCTGGAGAAGAAAATGACAACCCACTCCAGTGTTCTTGCCTGGGAAATCCCATGGACAGAGGAGTCTGGTGGACTACAGGGGATCACAAAAGAGTCACACACAGCTTAGTGACAGCACACACATGGCAGATAATAACTTCATGAGGAAGTTTCTTTTGGAAAAACTTCTCAGAGGGAAGAAGTTGATTTCTGGAAACTAGACAATTAAAAATGACTGCTTTTGAGGAAATGTAAATAATAAGATCTCTCAAAGACTTAGAAAGTCTGTCTTGAGTCCCGTTATGCTATTGTCTTCTCCAGCTTTGGCTCCAACTTCAAGTTGAGTTTGAATTTCTTCTCTTGAGTCATTTGAGAATTCTTATAAAATATCCCATTTGGGGCAAGTATGATGAGTTCAAAACTCATTTGCACTGATTATATTTACTGCACCCAAAGCATGCTGATTTAAGAAATTCTGTTTTTCTCTCAGGACTTGGGCTAAAGTCTGATGAACTTCCCAAACAGATGAGTATAAAGGATTGGCCAGAAATGAAGAAGAAATTTGCAGATATCTTTGCAAAGAAGACAAAGGCAGAGTGGTGTCAGATCTTTGATGGCACAGATGCATGTGTGACTCCTGTGCTGACTTTTGAAGAGGTTGCCCATCATGGTCACAACAAAGATCGGGGCTCATTTATTACTGATACAGAGCAGCGTGTGAGTCCCCGCCCTGCTCCTTTGCTGTCCAACACTCCAGCTCTCCCTTCGACTAAAAGGGATCCTTTTCTAGGAGAACACAGCGAAGAGATTCTTAAAGAACTTGGGTTCAGCCAGAAAGAGATCATTCAGCTTCAGTTAGATAATATTATTGAAATTCATAAACTTAGAGCTAATGTCTAAGTTCCAAGCCCCACAATGCAAATGAATTTGATTATTGCATTTACAGTATAATACAGAAAATTGTGTGCATGGAAACATGAAAAAACATTATCACAGTTGTCCAACTATTCTAACCAGGAAACAAGACTGATTATAGAGTAATGACTAAATTCTGAAAATGGTTATCATAGTTTTTGATTTTGGAATATTTTTAGTTTGCCTGTACTAAATTGTGGCAGTTTTTCTGCCTTTCAATTTACTTGATATATTTGTCAATTTAAAATGCTCATATATTTATAAAATACTTGAAATGCATTAATATACTGCTTTTTATTAAATAAAGCTTTATTCCCCATAAAGTTTACTCCTGCTTTTAAATTTGTGAAAAGCTTTCAATAAAGTTCTTTCTGTAGCACTAAAATAGCCTTTTGTTGTTCATTGAAATAATTTGGCTCTACTGTTAACCAGAATGAATGTCCTTAGATGGAAGAGTCTGATCCTTTTAATTTGGTAAGGAAACCATTCAGCTGGTGTCTCTGAATTGAAATTTTAGAAAATGTCCTTGAGGTTTCCTTCAGATAACTGCTACCTCTCCATCTAGACCAGCTCCTGTGTATAACTGCCTGTTATTAGCATCATCCACGTGTATCTCTTTATCAATAAACTGTACCATCATCCATTTGAAAGTCTTACTAGATTTTCCCTCCTCTTAACTAGTCTCCAGCTTCCACTCCCAGTATGTCTCCCTCTGTACCAATAGACCCCACAACTTACCTATCACTTCCTTTGGCCGCTATTCAAATGTCCCTTACAGAGAGTCCTTTCCTGATCCCTGTCTAAAATAGCAACTGCCTTATCACTCTCCCCAAACCCTGTTTCATTTTTCTTCATACTGCCTATCACTGCTGACATTGTATGGATTAACCTCTGCCTCATTCCTTGTTAACTAGGGTGTGCTAAAATGGAAACTTTATGAAGGACTTTGTAGATTTCATTCATTGCTCAGTTCCCAGTTCCTGGCTCATATTGGAAATTTTGTGAATATTTATTAAAGTGATGAATCTCAATAGTGAAGTGCTATCAGTTCCACTTTCAGAACTCTCATCTCCTTCCTTCTGCCCACGTTCCATTGCTTTCATCCAGACCCTATCACTTCTTCCTTGGACTACTGTTTAACTTCCCTACCCAGCTTTACACCCCTAGTATCATTGCCTTCATTGTTTTCCCCGCCATCCTTAGCAAGATCTGGAATCTCATTTCCACACAGCACAACATCCAAAAGAAGAGAGGGTCTCAGGAGCCCTCTGCAAACCTTGTCTCAAGTTTCCTTTTGTTGTTCAGTCACTCGGTCGTGTCCAACTCTTTGCCACCCCATGGACTGCAGCATGCCAGGCTTCCCTGTCCTTCACCATCTTCTGGAGTTTGCTCAAACTCATGTCCATTCAATCGGTGATGCCATCCAACTATCTCATTCTCTGTCATCCCCTTCTCCTCCTGCCTCAATCTTTCCCGGCATCAGGTCTTTTCAAATGAGTCGGTTCTTCCCATCAGGTGGCCAAAGTATTGGAGCTTCGGCTTCAGCATCAGTCCTTCCAATGAATATTCAGGACTGATTTCCTTTAGGATCAACTGATTGGATCTCCTTGCAGACCAAGGGACTCTCAAGAGTCTTCTCCAACACCACAGCATCAATAAAAACATCAATTCTTCAGCACTCAGCCTTCTTTACAGTCCACCTCTCACATCCATACACAACCACTGGAAAAACCATAGCTTTGACTATATGGACCGTTGTTGGCAAAGTAATGTCTCTGTTTTTTAATATGCTGTCTAGGTTTGTCATAGCTTTTCTTCCAAGGAGGAAGCATGTCTCCTTGGGTCAAGTTAAGTCACAAGCCAGCCCTATACTGGTCCTTGGTAGAGAAGGTAGGATTATCCTTAGATAAAACCAACCTGCTCCTGGAGCAGGATTGCTTTAGCAATTCTGGGTCTTCCATGGTTCCATAAAAATTTTAGAGTTACATTTTTCTAGTTCTGTGAAAAATGTCTTGGGTATTTTGATAGGGATCACATTAAATGTGTAGATTGCTTTGGGTAGAATGGCCATTTTAACAGTATTAGTTCCTCCAGTCCAAGAGCATGGTCTTTTCCATTTCTTTGAATCATCTTCAATTTCCTTTATCAATATTTTATAGTTTACAGCATATAGGTCTTTCACCTCCTTGGTTAAGTTTATTCCCAGGTATTTTTAAATGCAATTTTAAACAAGATGATTTTTTAACTTTCTGATAGTTCATTGTTAGTATAAAGCAATGCAACAGAGTTCTATGTATTAATCATGTATCCTCTACCTTGCTGAATTCATTTGTTAGTTCTAATAGTTTTTGTGTTCTCTGTACAGAGTATCATATCATATCCAAATAATGACAATTTTACTCTTCCCTTCCAAATTTAATACCTTTGATTTCATTTTCTTGTTTGATTGTTATGGCTAGGACTTTCAATGCTGTGTTGAATGGAAGTGGTAAGAGTGGGCATCCTTGTTTCACTTATGAATTTAGTGGGAAGGCTTTTAGTTTTTCACTGTTGAATATTATGTTGGCTGTGGGTTTGTGGTAAGTGCATTTATTATGTTGAGATATGTTCCCTCTATACTCATTTTGATGAGAGTTTTTGTCATGAATGGATGTTGAATTTTGTCAAATGCTTTATCTGTGTCTATTGAAATGATCTTGTGGTTTTTGTCTTTTCTTTTTTGTTAACGTAGTGCTTCATGTTGATTTGTGCTTGTTTAACCATCCTTGTGACCCTGGAATAAATACCACTTGATCATAGTATATGATCCTTTTTATGTATGTTTGGGTTTGGTTTGCCAATATTTTGTTGAGGATTTTTGCTTTTCATTAAAGATATTGTCCTGTAATTTTCTTTATTGGCAATATTTTTTGTCTGATTTTGGTATCAGGGTGATGGTGCCTTCATAGAATGACTTTGGAAATGTTTCCTCCTTCTTAATATTTGGGAGTAGTTTGAGAAGGATAGGTGTAAGTTCTTATTTGTATGTTTGGTAGAATTTCCCACTGAAGCTGTCCAGTCCTGGACTTCTGTTTGCAAGAAGTTTTTTTTTTTTTTTTTTTTTTTTTAAAGTATAGGTTCTATTTCACTTCTAGCGATCAGTCTGTTCACATTACCTGTTTCTTGATTCAGTTTTAGTAGACTGTATTTCTGTTGTGTTTGTGGAGGGAATTAAGCACCACATCCTCCTAACCCATCATCTTGATCTTCCTCCTTATATCATTTTTAATCACTAATGGGTCATAAGTGCATGTTGTACACTGTGTAGCTTCTCATGGCTTGGAATCAGATTGGATGTCAGTATCCTCATTTTCTGTTCCACATTGATATTCATAATGCTTCTTAAATCTGTAGAAAATCCAGCCTTACAATAATCTAAAGTCAGTGAAAGGATTGTAATGCAGTCTTTCCCCACCCCCCCCCCCACTTATTTTTATTAGTTGGAGGCTAATTACTTTACAATATTGTAGCGATTTTTGCCATGCATTGACATGAATCAGCCATGGATTTACATGTGTTCCCCATCCTGATCCACCCTCCTGCCTCCCTCCCCATCCCATCCCAGTGCACCAGCCCCGAGCACTTGTCTCATGCATCCAACCTGGACTGGTGATCTGTTTCACACTTGATAATATACATGTTTCAATGCTGTTCTCTCAGATCATCCCACCCTCGCCTTCTCCCATAGAGTCCAAAAGTCTGTTCTATATATCTGTGTCTCTTTTTCTGTCTTGCATATAGGGTTATCATTACCATCTTTCTGAATTCCATATATATGCGTTAGTATACTGTATTGGTTTTTCTTTCTGGCTTACTTTGTATAATGGGCTTCAGTTTCATCTATCTCATTAGAACTGATTCAAATGAATTCTTTTTAATGGCTGAGTAATATTCCATTGTGTATATGTACCACAGCTTTCTTATCCATTTGTCTGCTGATGGGCATCTAGGTTGCTTCCATGTCCTGGCTATTATAAACAGTGCTGCAATGAACATTGGGGTACATGTGTCTCTTTCAGATCTGGTTTCCTCAGTGTGTATGCCCAACAGTGGGATTGCTGGGTCATATGGCAGTTCTATTTCCAGTTTTTTAAGGAATCTCCACACTGTTCTCCATAGTGGCTGTACTAGTTTGCATTCCCACCAACAGTGTAAGAGGGTTCCCTTGTCTCCACACCCTCTCCAGCATTTATTGCTTGTAGACTTTTGGATAGCAGCCATTCTGACTGGCGTGTAATGGTACCTCATTGAGGTTTTGATTTGCATTTCTCTGATAATGAGTGATGTTGAGCATCTTCTCATGTGTTTGTTAGCCATCTGTATGCCTTCTGTGGAGAAATGTCTGTTTAGTTCTTTGGCCCATTTTTTGATTGGGTCATTTATTTTTCTGGAATGGAGCTGCAGGAGTTGCTTGTACATTTTTGAGATTAATCCTTTGCTTGTTTCTTCATTTGCTATTATCTTCTCCCATTCTGAAGGCTGTCTTTTCACCTTGCTTATAGTTTCCTTTGTTGTGCAAAAGCTTTTAAGTTTCATTAGGTCCCATTTGTTTATTTTTGCTTTTATTTCCAATATTCTGGGAGGTGGGTCATAGAGAATCTTGCTGTGATTTATGTCGGAGAGTGTTTTGCCTATGTTCTCCTCTAGGAGTTTTACAGTTTCTGGTCTTACATTTAGATCTTTAATCCATTTTGAGTTTATTTTTGTGTATGTAATGCAGTCTTACGTTGCAAGTATGATCTGTTTCACTCTTACTTCAGGTGTTATCTGAAAGATGTTGAGTTTCACTGTGTTTACTGTCTTAAAATTTTTAAATCTCCTGAGATACCCCTTTGAGTTCATTGTGTCTCCGTGGGTTACCTTGGCACATAGTTTGAGAAATACCAGTTTAAGTGAGTTACTCAGAGAAATACAGGAAGAAACAAGCAGAACCAGTATTTAAACTTTAATATTTTGACTCCAAGTCTTGTTCTTAAACCATTTTTACTGTCTTTCCTATGAAATCATGTTTCCCTTGCTACATAGACTTTCATTTGAATTCAGTGTCCAACAAGGAAAACACGACCCACTAGAAGTCTTTAAAACAGAGGAAATTAACATCACCAATTATTACATTGGTGATAAAAGAGATCAGAAGCCAAGGGAACAGTGAGGCAACTCAGATACAAGCAACCACAGGAATCTAGGAACAGTCCCATATTTGCATGATTGATGGGCAAGGTGGTATTACAGGGACCCAGAAGCTAAGGTTGGCAGCTGGACCCACAGTGGAAATGCAGCCACTGCCAGAGATGTCTCAGGATACAGAAAGAGGGGGAGGAAGTATCTTGATATCTTCCTTTCACCTGCCTCCAGTCTTCCCACCAGTTCCTCCCACTGGATAAATCTACCTGGAAGCCGGAGAGCAAGGGATCCTGAGAAATGTAGTCCCTTAGGTATGGAGCATAAGATGAGGAGGAGAGGATGGATCTGAGCAAACAGGCAGTTGACCAGCAATCACAAAGTGTAGCGTATATACTTTGTAATTCCTTTAGCAAACATTTACTGAGGACCTACTAGGTGCCAGGTATCATGCTAGATGCCATAATGAGCAGGAGAGACCTGGTCACTGCTCATTAGAGGATCAAAGACTAAAACAGAAGGAGATGACAGATGAATGGATAAAGAAGTTATGGTACATACACATAATGGAATATTACTCGGCCATAAAAAAGAATGCATTTGAGTCAGTTCTGATGAGGTGGATGAACCTAGAACTTATTACACAAAGTGAAGCGAGTCAGAAAGAGAAAGATAAATATCATATTCTAACACACATATACAGAATCTAGAAATATGGTTCTGAAGAATTTATTTACAGGGCAGCAAAGGAGAAACAGACATAGAAAATTGACTTATGGACATGGGGAAGGAAGGAGAGAGTGAGATGTATGGAAAGAGTAACATGGAAACTTACATTACCACATGTAAAATAGATAGCCAACAGGAATTTGCCGTATGGCTCAGGAAACTCAAACAGGGGCTCTGTATCAATCTAGAGGGGTGGGATGCGGAGGAATGGGAGGGAGGTTCAAAAGGGAGGGGATATATGTATACTCATGGCTGATTCATGTTGAGGTTTGACAGAAAACAGCAAAATTCTGTACAGCAATTATCCTTCAATAAAAAAATATATTAAAAAAAAACAAAAAAAAGCAGGAGGAGAATAAATAGAACTATCTCAAGTATGGAAGAAAAATATTGCAGAATTGTGGGAGAGTTAGTAATTTAGAAGGGGCACCCTCTCACTGTTTTAAGTCTAGTTAATTGACTAGATGTATGTGTATGTAGAAAACCTGTGTTCAAGGAAGGACAGAATATTTATATCCAGAAAAAGTTTAGAAAAAATATTGACTCCTTCATACTTAACATCTACATTATAGGGCTTTATTGTCTCAAAGCTATGTGTGATTGTGTGTAAATGTGTGTGTGTGAGTGAGGGAGAGAGAGAGAGAGAGGCAGAGAGAGAACAATACAAAGGAAGATTCCTTTAGAAACACATTCAAAGGAGCCAGAGGGCTCCCAGCTCGCTAATCTCCGTCATGCTTTCCTGGCCCCTCCCCCTTCCTTCTCATCATAACTTGTGATCTTAGAGGCATGAAAGAATTTGAGCCCCTCCCCCAGCCTGACCGTCTCTGCGGGCGGTGCAGCCCGGCTCCATGTCAAATCCAGCTGGGAGGGCGAACCCCAGGGCCACAGAGAGGGTGGTGGGCTTGCAGGCAGGTTCCTCGCCCAGTGGCCATGGGCGACAAGAGTGGGCAGTCTGCCCTACGCACCTATAAATCCCTTGATGAGGAGGGCCTCTTGGGCTCTGCAGAGCTGCCCAAAAGACCCACGGGGAGCCTGGTTATGCACAGCATGGCCATGTTCGGCCGGGAGTTCTGCTATGCGGTGGAGGCGGCCTACGTGACTCCAGTGCTGCTCAGCGTGGGCCTGCCCAAGAGCCTGTATAGCATGGTGTGGCTCCTGAGCCCCATCCTGGGGTTCCTGCTGCAGCCCGTGGTGGGATCGGCCAGCGACCACTGCCGGGCCCGGTGGGGCCGCCGGAGACCCTACATCCTCACGCTGGGCGTCATGATGCTCCTGGGCATGGCCATGTATCTCAACGGGGACGCGATCATATCAGGTCAGTGGACTGCGCCAGGTAGGCTGGGTGGGAGAAGGTCCTGTTATGCATCTCAGGACAAGGAGAATGCAAAGTTCTTTCTGTGACAGTAAAAAATGGTTAAAACTGACTCCCTATCCTAAGTTACATTGAATTTCCACCTTTGAGTGCCCCAGATTCTGTAGTTAGGCACCTTTACTTTTAGAAACTTCAGGATACATTATTTTTTAATTGTTGTGAGAATTTAAAAATGGGATTATATTTTTACCTATTTTATTACATTATGTATTGTTACATGTTTATGAATTATGGGGTTTTGTGTGTGTGCCCACCAAACCTTATTTAGGACCTTCTCAAATTAACCAGCTGCCTAATGGCTCCATAAATTTTTCCAATAAATGTACCTGTGTGTCCAAAGAAGACTTAATGATGTTCACAGCTTTATGTGGAGTCTTGTAACAGGTACAGGGCATCAGCTTGGCAGCTCAAGGGGACAGTTTTTCATTGCAAATCATGGACATAGACCTGATGGTGAGCACTTTTTCTAGCCATTAAACAGCAGCCAATTAATTAGTAATTGGTGGTAGTATATATTGTGTTGAAAAAAAGAATTGTTAAAAATAGCACACATTTTCTGACCATTAACTCTCAGGCTAGCAGAATGGATGATAATAAGCCATGATAATCAGTTATCATCTCTATATATTTAAACATGGGCATAAATCTATAAATGTAGTATATTTCTGGAAGAATTTTATTTTAAAAAATACCTGAAAAGAAATTTTGCCTCTAAGGAAGGGTGCTAAAGGCCTGGGGGTGAGAGGGGAAAGTTAAGCTTGTTTTTCACTTATTTTTGTACTGAATTTTTAAAGTCAGGTGCATATATTACACATTTTCTTAAGTCTAAAAAATAAACTGAAAGCCCGAGAAATAGTTATGAGGGGTGAATGAACAGTGGTATGGTCATAGGATGAATATCATTTAGGTGTTAAAATTGTGATGTTTCTCTTCATCTACTGAAAGGCAAAGATATGAAGAGAGTTGGTTAAAAGATGCTCATTTACAATCTGGTCCCATTAGTCAGTGCTCCTCCAAGCAAAGCCCTCCAGCCTGTAGCATCAGCCTCACTGGAGGCTGATAGAGGTGAAAATTCCCAGGCCCTACCTTCCACCTATTGAGGAATCATAGGAGACTCATGGTAGGTGAGGCCCAAAAATCTGTTTTAACAAGTCATCCCGGTAATAGTTAAGAAGCTAAAGTCTGAGAAGCACTGCATGAAGGCACAGATGCACACCTCTCTCTATTTTTGTGCATAAAGGGATGTCTGAAGGGTGACCATCTCTTGGACCTGGGATCTTGAAGTATTTCCCCAGCTTTCCTATATGGTTGGCGTGGTTTACAGTCAGTACGTATAATTTTTTAAACCACTTTATTTAAAAGAGAGATAATTCACATACCATAAAAGTCACCATCTAAAAGTGAACAGCTCAGTGCTTTTCAGTATATTCTCAAAGTTGTATAACCACCACCACTATCTAATTACACAACAGCTTCATCTCCCCCTCAACAGACACCTGGTAGCCATTAACAGTCACTCCCCATTTCCTTCTCCCCCACAGTCCTAGGTAACTGCTCAATCTACTTTCTGTCTCCAGAGAGCTGTCTTCTCTGGACATTCACTGCATGATTTTTAAAACTTGAAAAAATAATGAAGCTATTTTTTATTTGGAAGAGCAAACACAATGAAAGTATAGGGAGGTAATATGAAGACAGGAAGTTTGGGTGGAAATTAAAATGTGGATCGTTCTAAACCAGGATTTAGGAGACCAACGGTTGTTTCTCTTTTAGCTTTGATTGCTGACTCAAGGAGGAAGCCGATCTGGGCCATAAGTATCACCATGATAGGTGTGGTTCTCTTTGATTTTGCTGCTGACTTCATTGATGGGCCCATCAAAGCCTACTTGTTTGATGTCTGCACTCATCGAGATAAGGAGAGGGGCCTCCACTACCATGCACTCTTCACAGGTAGGGAATATCCAGAAAGTCTATCCTTCAGGTCCCTGGGCAGGGAAGCCCTTCCACTGAAGCCATCCAGTGTCTCAGGGCTCAGATTTTTTGAATGAATAGATCTGTTGATGCATCACTCCCATCACGTGGGCTCTGTCTTCCAGGGCATTCCTCTTGTGACCAAGCTGTGGAGTTTTTGCAAAGGAAGTTTGTAGGAGAGCTCTCTGAAGAGCCATGTGTGGAGACATTTACAAATGAAATGAAAAAAGGCCTTGTAGACTTCATATTTAGTTTTGATTTTTAGTCAGTAATGTGTAGCATCAACACTACTTAGGAGTTTGCAGCTTCTTGGGCCCCTCTTCCTGTTATTTTAATTCAACAAGTTTGGGGTGGGGCCCAGAAATTTGTGTTTTTAATGACTTTCTCAGATGATTCTGTGGCAAATGTCCCAAGAATCACATGAACCACATTTAAAAACAAAAATAGGAACAAACCAAGCAAATAAAAAGCCCCAAGTCTTAGAGATTTCTTTAAAAAAAAAAATTATTTATTTATTTGGCTGCACTGGGTCTTAAGTTGCAACAAGCAGGACCTTTAGTTGCGGCATGTGGGATCTAGTTTCCTGACTGGATTGAACCCCAGGCCTCCAGGATTGGAAGCTCAAAGTCTTAGCCACTGGGCCACCAGGAAAGTCCCAGAGATTTCTTAGTTATATAAAGAGTTAGCAAATCCTCAACCTCCTGTTTTGGAAAATGCCATGCCAGGAGGACACTTCTTGGGGCCATTGCTGGCTGCCTTTGGTAGCTGTTGAGCTGTTGAGCTTCATGTAGAGCAATGCTACTAACGTTCAACATGCATTTCTAGGGCTCCATTTGTTGTTCAGTCATTCAGTCATGTCCAACCCTTTGTGACCCCGTGAACTGGAGCATGACAGGCTTCCCTGTCCTTCACTATTTTCTAGAGCTTGCTGAAACTTATGTCCACTGAGTCAGTGATGCCATCCAACCATCTCATCCTCTGTCACCGCCTTCTCCCCCTGCCCTCAGTCTTTCCCAGCATCTGGATCTTTTCCAGTGAAACTGCTCTTCACATCAGATGGCCAAAGTATTGGCATCAGTCCTTCCAATAAATAGTCAGGATTGATTTCCTTTAGGACTGACTGGTTTGATCTCCTTGCTGTCCTTCCAGTTGGGATTGTTCTAGGATTGGGGTGTCATCCACAGGACAACAGCATGATCCTGTCCTTGGGAGCATTGTTAGGTCTAGATGTGGGGACTCTATTTGATTTTCTCCAAGGCCCAACCAAGGTATTTTTATTTTATGTTTTGATGTATTCTGTCTCCTCTCATGGTCAGACATGTCCCATGAGAAGCAAATCTTGAATTTTGTTCAGATTATATCCCCACAGCCAAAAGCAGGCCTGCCCACAGAAGCCATTCAGTCAACAATTTGTTGTTTGTGCAAATATTTGAATAGTGAACACTGGGAAGAATGGGGGTGCCCGACAGAGAGGGGCCTGGAGGAGCAGGAGGCCAGCCCATCTGTCTGGGACCCCTGAACACTTTGTTTACCAGCTGGAAGGTCCCAGAATAGAGATTCAAACTGCATTCTCCTAACTTAAATCCCACAGTTCCTACTGCTATATCATAATCTGCTGAAGTTAATTATGATATTGTGGGAGGCTTTTGGCTTTTGAACCTGACACGTTGAGAGTTTTGTTGCTCTAAGTACTTTGGGCAACGTGGTCACTCCTTCCCAGCTTATATCAGTGTTAGTCTTGGCCCAACAACCTTTGCTTTGCTGCCTCTGATATTAAAAGACTGAGTTCTGTATTTGGGGAATTTTTCCAGGGTTAACACATGGTAGTATTTCTGTTGACTTTGATAAAATGTCTTGAGGTTTTCTTTTGATACTAGTGTATTGTGTTTTCAGCCAGCATATAATTCATGTATAATTTTCATGTGACCTCATTTCAGGCTTTCACTGTATCTTGTCTGAGCTTTCGTACTTACCCTTTAACTGATTTTCCAGTCTCTAATTTTTTCCTATTCCAATTGTGCTAACACACAGCTTCCAGGGTCATGTTCCTAAAAGATACCTCTGATCAGGACACTTTCATGTTCAATGACCTGCAGTGGCTCCTGTTGACAAAAAATTGATTAATTAATCAATTGCCAATTTAAGAAAGAAATAGAGAATTTTATTCAATTCAACCTAAAGATTATAAATTGGGAAACAGTCTCTCAGAGAGCTCTCAGAACTATTCCTCCCATCAGAGGTCAAAGCACAGTTATATATGAGACAAAGTGTTATACATCTAATGACGTACTGACAGTTTACATAGTCCAGGTCTGCACATACAAGGCAAGTAGTGGGTCATCATGACCGCTTACAGGATGGAGAAAGGACTGTTATCTGTTAAGGAGTTCCCTTGTTAGTGCCAGGAGAAAGTTGCTGCTGTCAAGAAAGTATTCCTGTGACTTCTATGGCAGCGGTCTGATTAATTTATTAATATAATGCAGATGCATGTTGCATACTCCAGGGGAGGGAGGAGACCCAAAGGGGAAAGTGTTATATTTAAATCTAGGCCCAACAATTCCAAATGTTTTTCAAATAAGTGTCAAAGGGTTCACTGCCAAAATGTTCTCCAGCATGTTTCTGAATTTTTTTTTTTTTTTTTAAAGAAAAGTCCCTACTGGCTTCTGGGAATTTTAGTCCTCCAACTTCTGTCTCTTATGTTTAAAGGTAACTCTACCTGCCCTCCACCCCTGGCATATGTGATAGCCATGCTGGGTTTAGTGGGTCCATCTCATCCCTTCTGGATTCCCTGGTAGCTCAGGTTGTAAAGACTCCGCCTACAGTACAATAGACTGGTTCACTTCCTGGATCAGGAAGATCCCCTGGAGAAGGCAGAGGCTGCCCACTCCAGTATTCTTGGGCTTCCTTGGTAGCTTATACAGTAAAGAATCCACCTGCAATGGGGAACACCTGGGTTTGATCCCTGTGTTGGGAAGATCCCCTGGCAGAGAGCAAGGCAACCCACTCCAGTATTCTTGCCTAGAGAATCCCCACGGACAGAGGAGCCAGGCTGGCTACAGCCCATGGGGTCCACAAAGAATCAGACACGACTGAGTGACTAAGCACAACACAGCCTCATCCCTTCACCTCATGCCTTCACCCCTGGGTGCACCTGGGGCTGTGGAGCCCTCACTCACCAGAAAGAAAGGAAATTCCTCCCTTGAGTCACAATGCTTGTAACTGAGCATCTGTTACTATTAATAAATTAACCCAAGGCCTTGCTCTCCTGAACAGTGGTCTCTGTTCCACCCAAGGAGACTGGATGAGGGCTGATGGTCAGTAAAGGTTGTCCCAGTTCAAATCCTGGCTCCTCCTCCCACCCAGTCCCTACTATTTCTGAACTTTTGTTTCTTCACAGGGTTGTGAATCTATCCACCATGTTAGTTATTAATATCCTGGCAATATATTGGGGCTTCGCTTGTAGCTTAGTCAGTAAAGACTCTACCTGCAATGCCAGAGACCTGGGTTTGATCCCTGGGTTGGGAAGAGCCCCTGAAGGAGGAAATGGCAACCCACTCCAGTGTTCTTGCCTGGAGAATCCCATGGACAGAAGAGCCTGGCAGACTACAGTCCATGGGGTTGCAAGAATTGGACGCAACTTAGCAAACTGAATCACCAACCACCGCCACCATTCTGGCAAATGGTCCCAAGCAATGGTTCCTGAGCAAGGAACCCTTTAATAGGATTCAGCACCAAATGTATATATTTACTATGTATTCTCCATTCCCACCAGGCTTGCAAAAGTTGTGTTTGTGTGTAATGACTTGATAAGGAACTTGCCCCATGTGCATCTTTGGAAGAAGAGTGGGTAACGTGTTAGGCTTAGCTTCTTTTGACTTTTCTGTTTCTTTAATACTTCAAAGTTTGAGTAAAAAATGCTAGTGAAACAAATACTCAGAATAGAAATAATTAAGAGCTAAAAAAAAAGAGTCCTAAAAATAGAGTTTAGATGTGGTTCCATTTGACCAAATGTATACAAGTGAGAAAAGGCTGTGTTTCACGGTAGAGTCGATTTTAACTTCTTCAGGACTCATTGCTGCATGAGTGGATTTCTTTCATCAGCTGAGTTTCCTTTGAAGTTTCTGCCCCCAGTGAACTTTCATGTCTCCTCACACAGGCAGGAAAGGATGTGGCCAGAGCAGAAACCAGGGTACAGGAATTTGAGCTTTGAGGGTGACACGAATAACTTAGGGTGAAACAGATAAGGTCTACAAATTGCCATTTCTTATCCCCATTCAGCACCTACCTCTCAAGGAATCTCAAAGGCAGGTTAAAGATGGGAGCCCCTGAGGACATTTTTTCACTTACTCAATACTTGTGTAAATGCTTAGTCACTCATCTGTGTCTGACTCTTTGCAACCTCATGGACTGTAGCCTGCCAGGCTCCTCTGTCCATGGAATTCTCCAGGCAAGAATACTGGAGTGGGTTGCCATTCCCTTCTCCAGGGGATCGTCATAACCCAGGGATGGAACCTGGGTCTCCTGCATTGCAGGTTAATTCTTTACCATCTGAGCCACGAGGGAATTGTCTACCAGAAATCTCTTTCCCCAGATACCAACTGGCTGGCTTGGTTTGCATCCTCTCTTTGTTATAATCTCTGGTCGCATAGCCCCTTCTCAGCGATTCATGATTACTTGATAATATATTATTTATTCATTTGTTTGTTGTTTATTGTCTGCCTCTAGAGCCAACATATAAGCTATCTGAAGACAGGAATATTTCCTTTTTGTTCCAAAATCACTAGTGCTTAGAATAGTTCTGGAAATATGCTGAAGAAATATTGATGAGACAAATATTCTATTTTAACATCCTCGTTTTACCTGTGAGGAAGCTGTGTTGCTGAGAGGTAAGTGACTAACTCAATATCACACAGCTGGATTTGTGTGCTAAGTCACTTCAGTTGTGTCCAACTCTTTTCGGCCCTATGGACCATAGCCCA